TTTTGTCTTCAGTATTTTCACCCCAAGACAATGCGGAAGTATGTATGTATCTTCTGAGAAATTTTTAAAATATTTTATATGCCTGTCCTAAAGATGATGTGTTTAAAGTTCTCCTTAACAATCCTTTTAAAAGTGTCCTCGAGATTCTTCTTGAAACTCTCTCAGGATTTCCTGCTTCAAACCTTCTTTGACGCCATTAAAACCGTTCCGTTCTGGGTCTCACTCTGTTCAAGGCCGTTGCACGAATTACAAGACAGACGTTCGCGCACGAGCACAGCGGATGCCAAAAAGTTTCACCGGGAATCGAAGTGACCACGAGAGAAGCAAGAGGTGAAGGCGAAGCAGGGAGGCAAAAGATTGGTAATGCACGGACGAGGAACACGATGCCACCTTAGTGAAAGCCACCGCGAAGAAGAAGAAGCTTCCTTGCCGCACCGAGTGCCGCTCCCGCCAAGCGGAAGATTATCTAAATAGACTCTGTGGGCCAGAAAAGGAGACAAGACGGCGGCTTAGGAGGAGAAGAGGACCCACAACGAGTCGGTATTTATATGTCGTGCCTTTGGAGAGCCAGTGACCAGGAACATCCCTCTTCGTGTCCGCGAATAAAACGCACCGGATGCCATTGATTTTCTTCGACCATCGATTGGAATTCACGGGGCGCGCCGCAACAGGAATTAACAGCCTCATCGGCAAGAAGATCTGAGAGACAGAAAGAAGTAAAGAAAGAGAGAAAGAGAAACACGGGTTAATCAGCTGCGCCGGCAAAACCGAGGACCTTTACTCTTTGAATACATCGTTGTGCATTTCTTGGGTGGTAGAGATTACTGCGAGATCTAATCTGAGTTTTCGTCTTTGGATTTATTTCATCGTTTATAACAACGTAGTTGTAACTTTCAATAAGTAATTATGCACGGGTGTATCTTTAATATTATGTATGATAAACTTTTATTGCATTTTCCATCAACAATGGTACCATTAAGAAATTTATCTCTTATTTTATCAGAGACTTTATGAATATCGTTTGTTTTTATAACCTTTTTAACAATCAAGTTTTAATATACAATAATTGTGATTAACAACCGTTTTTAGAATATTTTGTTAAAATAAAATTTGAATGCGATTGAAGTAAAATATTAACTTAAAGCTTATAAAAATACTTAGATTTTCATAACTGTTTTGAAATAAAAAAATTTTAATGTTTCAATATTGTTTCATATAAAATTTAAACTAATTTTTATTTTATATTTAATTACAGAATCTTATATATATATATATATATATATATATATATTACATAGAATAACTATTAAACTTTCTAGTTAATTTAAAATTTAAAGTAATTTATTTTGACATTTAGTTGCCGGTATTAATAATAAAAGTTTGTTGTATAATTGCTGTAATAAAACATAAGATTTACGATTGTTTCTGATTAGAAAGACGAGAAGATTGCAATGAAGGAAATCTGAGTTGTACACGTTTGCAGCTGTTTTAATACAAGTGTGGATATCAGGTGTTGAACCTGATTACTGCGTTTATGCGCGAAATACCTTAGACACTTACGTAACTACGGATACAATAAACTTAGTAAAAAAATAAAACTTGCGCCATTTGTATAATCAACTGTAAGAAGTGAACTAGGCAATGGAATTTCTTCTTGTTTGCTCTCTCGTTTCTTGAAACGATTCACACTTCACACTTCATAGCATTATAGACTTTGATAATTAATAAAAAAAGAGCAAATGTTCACTAAATATTTGCTCTTTTTTAAGTACTAAAAATTTCCGCAAAAATTCCGTATTTCTGAATTAAGTTGGTATTCTATGTATACAGCGATTGTGTATGTGTATGTATGTGTATGTGTGAAATTAAATATAATTAAATACTCAAAATATATCATTAATTTATATGGAATCTTATTAAGAACAATTGAAGCAAATGAAAATACGAAAAAAATATCGATGCGGAAATAGTAATAACCTTTAGTAAGTGTAATTAGTTGATAATAAATAAAAATTCGTTCCTGGAATCAGAGGAAGAGAAAAAAAAATATCATAGATCGCGGATATGAAGACAATGGGAGAGGGTTGCATCGGCATTTATGAATATAACATTCGCTCGTCTCGTAACGTTGTTTGAGCGGAAAACATCGCGATTTTTTGTCGATCGGTGAAAGTTCACCGGTGATCCCAGGCAATCCCGGAAGCCGCGCTGCTCCACTCGTCGCAACGTGGAAAGAATCGGTATTGTTGTGCATCGCACGCGCTCGAGCTCGGACGAACGCGTGCAGTCGCCTCTGGTTCAAGCCGTTTCAGCAAGGGCCGTTGAACCGAAACGACCAACCGGAACGACGTCCGATACTTTTTCCTTCTTCAATAACGGGCGATCCGCCGCGCGCGGATACTAATCGAGCGAAAATCAAGGACGCACCGGCGAACGTCGCGTCGCGCCCCGTCGCGCTCGATTTCAGGGCCAAGAAAGCGCGCATTGCAGTGCAAAAGCAAGGGACTCGTCGACAGGAAGAATTTTTACTGATTGTTTGTAGTAATAAATTTTAATAATTACCAATTTTCACTTAATTTCAACATTGTTTAATGATTATTTTTTCGCTCACTTCACACTTCGAATTATTTTTAGTCTAAACGTATAAATAGCTATAAAGCAAAAACTTAAAGAATATTTTATCTTTGAAACCCGTGTTTGAAAATTTCATGCTAAATGTATTCTAGAAAAGAAAAGATTCTAAAATTTGTTTAAGATAAAAGTTGCATTTAATATGAATATAAGATCAGAATTATACCCATTTACATTTGATTTTTACATTAAATTTGATTTTGAAAAATATATATAAGAAAAAATTCAGATCATATATATTAACATAATATGTATATCAATGTAAAAATTTTATTTTACGAAGAAAAATGAATAATCTTATAAATTTAATAAAAATATTCTGGCTATTTTTGCTGAATTTATGACAAACTTTACTTACCTCAAAGTAAAAAATATCGAATAAAAGAAATGTAAAGTAAAAAGAGAGAATACATTACATTTATAAATCCATTCAAGATTATTACTTTAGTAAAGTAAGTTATATTATTTTCAAGCACGGACAATTCTCAAAATTTACTTTATAAAATGTAAAAAGTAAATGTACTTTAGAATATGACAATTGCTTATTTATTTGAAAAGTAAAGTAAATTTTACATAAGTGAGCGTCTATCCTTCTACATGCCATTTTCATAAAATTTACTAGAATTCTACTAGTGCATATTACTTTACATTTCTCTCCATGTTGATGAATTCTTTGATTTTTACATTTTAATTCTACTGGTATCTCAGAATTTATAAAAATCTACATTTTATTAGAATAGTCAAATACAAAGATCACATCATCCTTTAAACCTCTCACGTTTCATCCTAAGGGTCTCGGCTATTTTCCGAATTCTCAGAGTCTAACTCATGTAACATCCATAAAATTATAGGATTATCATATTCCGTGATCTTTGAACTGTATCTCGTGTCCGACATTCACACATTCCGGCAATACAACGCAAGGTTTTACTAGTTGTACACTGAAAGGAAAGATTGGCTGAATATGTCATAACATATTTAATTGGTTGCAAGAACCAATTTTGGTTAGCCTATCGAAATCCTATACTCATTGCGGATAGGCTAACGCAACCAAAAATTGGTTGCTGCAACCAATTAAAAAATGTTATGCGGCTATATTTTACCATCTAATTTGGTGCAACAGCCAATTTTTTCTTTTGGTGTAGATTAACAATAGACTTACTTCTGCAGACGATCAAAAATACTTTCGCCAATGCTCTGTGCACGATTCCACCTGAGAAAATCAGCAATCGTTGAGTGACAGCGTGCACATCCATGATCAGAAATCCACCGATGAAATGTATCGCCAGCAACCGAGCACTTGGAGACTCGCGGATTTTCGTTGATGCTCCGGCGTTCACTGCGTGCACGCGCACTCACCGCGACGTTTGCGTTGGTCGCTCAGGAAAATCAGTGATCTCGATCCCGATCACGAAGGAGAGATCCAGTCAAATCACCGCGTCGATCTTACTCAACTGCGCAACACTGGCACAACGTATATCCGTGGCACACATCAACACAACGCAACCGTTCTACAAATCTAGATACTTCATTTCTTCCCGATTCCGTCTTTGGACCCCCAAGGAGAACGAGAAAGTTAAAATAATGTCACATTGACCGAATCATGACAAAAAAATAATACAAATTCGGTTAATATGACGTTAAATTAACATTATTTTAACTTTCTTGCTCGCCTTGGACCGCTTCTTTCCGGTTTAACATCTGATCGCGCTGCCACGAGTCCAACACCTACCGAGAAAGAATCGGTGAATTACGTTCGCGATAAATGCGATAATTTTTTTACTTCATGGATGCAATTTAATAAAATGTTATAATAATAAAATATGCAGAGCAACCCAATCTGAACTGTATTGGAAGTTTGATTTGCGAGGACTTTGCGTGTGCCTCCAAGTCAGAAAGAAACGATGCTCCGCGTGAATTACGAACTGCGACTATGATTCATATATCGGAGTAATCTCTTTTCGTTCTGCGATACTGAGAACGGTTTCGTACGATACAAATCGCAGATACTTTCCCACTTCACTTCATTCCCGTCGATAGACTCTCATACGTCTTTCTCTTGCAATCATCTAAAAGAGGAATCGTTTAACACGCAAAGTCAGTGAACTGAAAAATTTTCAATCGATCAGCATTTGTCTCACTCGTTTATTACCTGCTTTCAATGTGTAAAAAATTTAATTTTAAGAAATTTCTCCACTTAAAAATTTAACATAATAGTCAACTTTCAACAAAGAAGAGAAAAATCGACATACGTAAAATTTACAACAAAATTCGAGTCCTAATTAGTGCAATAACACTCTGATTTTCGTGCAATTTATCGAAAACACTCGCTGTCTGTATTTGAATCCACATATCCATAAAACTCACAGGTTTCACAGATTCCCACGTCCTTCTCTCCTCGGAAGAAGATGAGGGCCGCGCACAAAAGGCACACTCTCGAAATCGATTCCGGTCTCGATCAGCGTGGATCGGTCCCGGTGGCAGACTCGCGACGCGCGCGCGAGGACGCGTCGCAGGCGATCGCGGGCGATCTACGGGATCGTGGATGTTGGGACCGCTCGGCGCGACTCTCGAGCGTGTGTGCGTAATCGCAGCGATATAAGACGGCCGCGATGCGGTTTCACGGATGCAGGGAGAAGGGGGTTACATCAGAGAATACACGAAGAGTCCACGCTCGGCTTGGTTCGGTTGGTTGTTCACGATGACGACGACGACAACGACGACGACGACGATGACACGACGCGCGAGAACGCGCCGCGCCGAGGCACCGCTTCGACTCTGCTTCGATTCGCAAGTGCCGACGACGGGACCGACGAATGGCTGTCCAGATCTAGCTGGGTACCACGACGAAGCTGGCCCGACTCGACGCGAGAGACCATGGCGTGTATGCACGAGGCAAGGCGGATCCGACAGCACAAACCGGCACGAAGGAACGGCTTCGACGGCGCGGAGCGTGAGCGAGAGGGGCCCGACGGGGCCTAATCTGACCGGAGGGACTCCTATGCTTCCTTCGTGCTAACTCTCTCTTGGCGAAAGGTGGCCGCCGAACTGCGGCCGAGATTTTCCTTGCCGACCATGCCTTTAACATTAACAATAATAGTTTTACAATAATATTAATTTATATACCGATTTTATTTTTATTCTATTTACATTTATTTTTTTATGTTTATTGTTCTGAATTTTTAACTATGGTTTTATTTATTTTAGTTATTTTTTTGGTATTCAATTATTTTTTTATTGATATTATTGCGGCTGAAAAAGATCAAATAGAATAAAAACTTGTTTCGCTATTTGTATCAATTTTAGATTTTAATGGATTAAAATAGGGGATATTAATTTAACATTTTTGCTGTCGTTGCATTCATACTTAACTTTAGTTATACTTAATAACAGTTTTGTTATATTAAAGAACTTTCCATAATTTGTACAGGTAGCTTCGCATATAGATATCATTTGTATCAAGTTACCTGCTCCACTCTGTTTAAGTGTAATTGGTATAAATACATTTATTAAGCCTATTAAATTTTAATAACATAGAAAGTCGTGACTTTCTTTCTTTATATCTTTCCTTTTAATAATTTATTTTGCGGTAATTTCTTTTAGATTTTATTTTAAAGTCTTGCTATTACCAAGAAATATATTACGACCGTACATCTATAGATTTCTTAGTTGAGGTTCTTATTTCGCTTGGGCGGGAGAGATCTCGGATTCAAACATCGCATCGCGTGGCTGCTCCCGCGCCACGCTGGCTAAATATTTCGCGGAATATATTAAGATATTAGTCACGTAACTCGGTGGACCTCCACCACTATTAGCTTTCGAAGCAAAGTGATTTCCACGCGATCTTGGAGCACGTGATCGGTATCCAGAACATGTGATATTTCAGTCTTGATACTAACACCTACACTTTTATTCAATAATAACCGTTGATTCACTAAGATAATTATAGACTTTCCAGTATCTATTAAGTCTCATTTTTCAACCATTTTTTTACTCGAAACATATATTATAAAAAAACAAATATAAAGAATCGATTACAAAAAATTAAAATAGAAATTTATTATAATAATATAAACAAAATAAATTATAACAAATTAATAATGCTATAATATCTTTCAATATCGGTTACCTTGAAAACTTTGCAATATTTTGCATATATTATATTTATCTCAAAAAAAGCTAACTTTAAGAAATAAATTTAGCTCTTGTAAACAAGATTGTAGTCTCCAGATATGAATCTTATTCTCTTATCAATTCTCCGACTCATTGTCAGACCGCGTATCTGGCGTCATATACAGTCGTTGGCTGAACGTGCGAAGAGTCGTGTTTCCATTCGCAGATAATTCACAAGAGAGTTTGCGTACAAGAATATTTTTGGAAGTAAAAGAATCCTTTTTCTTCGCATATTATCTTACATACAAATTAACATTTGTGTTAACATATCTTTAATACATTTGATTCCTTTTATGATTTTAAATCGAAACTATTCAATATAATTTGTTGTTAAATTATTGGAGTTAACACGAACGTAGTATATCTCAATCTCTCTGTTCTCTCTCTCTCTCTCTCTCTCTCTCTCTTCTTTCTTTCTCTCTCTTTTTGATGCTGATACTTCGTTCAACTTGAGTGACTCTAGGACTCCGAGTACGTCAAGTTCACTTGAGCAGTTACGAGCGCCGAAGAAGAATTACATCAAATTGGTAATCAAACAAGTAGCACATTCCTGCGTCAGATAATATAATTCGTCGCCAAAATACTTTCCGTTCCATAAACTCAGCTGATTGCAAAATTAAACAACCAAGACGATCCACGCGATAAGTTTTATCACAAAGATAATAATTTTCAAGTCTGAACGCACTTAACGATATAAACCTGTTGCAACATTTAAATTCAACCTGCAATAACTGCATTTATATGCCGATTTTATTCGCAATTTTAAATTAATCATCTATCTTTTAAAATTTTATTTAGTAAAATACTGTATGTCTCTTAATGTTCTTTCGTATATTCTTGCATCGTTTATGCTAGACGCGATTTTATTGTTTAATCGTTTAATACAAAATGATCTGAAGGAACACCAGTCAAAAGCTGCTAATAGTCTTTGATAAACAAGTCAGATAAACAATCGCACAGACTATATGCACATGCACGCATACATCGAAGTCTACATTCATCGGCAGAAGCGGCGCGACGGGATGGCTGCTGCGTTTACTGATTATTCCGATTTGCTCAATTTGACCGGGGCATGAGAAGAGCCACGTGCTGGGTGTTGGTTGAAGATTTTGCGGCGTTGCCAGTTTACAGTTGTCTTCATTCTAACCATTGACACCGTTGAAGTACATCTCGACAAGATGGCAACGTTGACAGTGCCGCACGAGCGGCATGGTAGTCCGAGTCCGACGCCTAAATCGAGAGGCAGTTACAGTGGTCCACCGGATGCTAAAGAAGCTGTCGCGAGAGCACCGATAAGATAGCGGGCAATCGCAGAAAATGGTACAGAAGAATGGAGAACGGAGGAATCTGTATCTAGCGCACATAACACATGCACATGTATTTATAGCTTCTCGACTAGCAGGCGTCGGGAGATGACTACGGAACGCGGTTCTTGTTCCGTGTTTGGACGTCGATGATATTCCGATGGCGGGGTTAATGGGAAGTTTGAAATTACTTGTCTATCAGTGGACGAGTATTGATGAATGGCGCGCCCGGTTTCATTTAAAAGAACTTACTTGAGAGGGCAATGGTCTACTTAGAACTCCAGATGTCTGAAGTAGAATGGGCTTTGGAACCCAATAAATAACACATTTGAAATTCTAAAAACTGTTTTCTATGTTTATTATCTGGAAATGGTTGCATGGTATTAATAATAACAGTTTAATGATTCAATGATAATTTCGTCATTATTACTATCCGATACGATCAGCTTCTCAATTTCGTGTTATTCGTTCCGTCGCATCGTTTCCGACTGGATATACCTTTGCACCTTATACTATTGCTAATCCCAATGACGTTAATCCTGCTTGTCGATGATCTACGGCGTCTTAGAGCACCGCTATCTCGACGACTGTCTGGATCCATTACGCTGTTCGTTGTTGCGCCGAATGACTGTGAGGATTTATAGACGCATGTAGGCACTGTCCTCCCCGGAGTGAATGGATTTTATCATTTCATAGAGCCCCGTGAAATTCCTCATAGCCGGTCGACAATGATGGCCAATCAACAAACCATTCTGATCTCTGCGTATGTCGATTACAAAAGGAAACGTTCGAACATGTCTGTCCAGAATTTTTACTGATCTTCGTGACCCTTAATTCTTTTTCTTCACGTCACTATTCGCTTATTTTATTTCGATTAAGTTACATCGTCTTTCGTGAAAGCGTGAAACGTGTCTGATAAAATACACTTCCTACATCGTATGAACTCCATTTTTTCTCGATAAACAAATTAGCATCGATTGATCTCAATCTACCCGGTTTCTGTTTTCCTCTGCGGTACCAACGAATGGCGATTCGCTATGGAAACCGCGGTCAGGTAATACGAAACCGTTGCACTACATTTTCCGCGGGTTAATCACCGATGACGCAGACGACTCGATAATAAATGTGACAACACAACAGCAAGTTTATTATAAATGCTAAAATTCATTCAGGGAGGATAGTGTTAAGTATACATTTACAAATCCTCGTAGTAAAAAGAAATCAATTTTTTTTCCATCTATTCAATTTTTATAAATATTTATCCCAGATCTAGATAGAACACAAAATCATATTAAAATCAAAATGACATCAAATTAATCAGGGATTCTGATTTAGAGAACTCAGAAATAAGAGGACAATTTAGGATTTCTTTTTTAAATTGTAACTTCGATAAATTTTAGAAGCATATATATACATTTTATACATATTTAATAATAATTTTTTTTTTAATTTGTTAATATTTGTCAGAGTTATATGTTATATCGCACAAAATGTTTCGTGTGATCATAATTTGCCATTAATAATGTAGAACCTATCCAAATAATCTAAAACAAAAGAGAAATATATATTATCATTTGTTATTAGTACTTCTTCTGTGTGACTCTCGCTCTGGGTGAAAAATTACAAAATTTTTTAAAATAAATCTTGTTTGAAAAAAGATTGAATTTTTTTTTCGTAATTTTTTCAACACTTTTTTAAACAAAAAAGAGAAGATTTATTATTAACATTTTATTGCTTATAGGTTTACAATTAGAGAAAATTTAACAATTATTTCGAATTACTCATAAGATAAAACCGATCCATTTATTAGTTTTTGAGTTATAACGAACTTGAAAAATACGATTTCGAGAAAAACGTTTTTAAAGTTTTGAGTACTAATAAATGTTCAATTTTAGTATATATACTTACAGTTAATTTTTAGTTAATCTGCCATTCCATAAAACAGAACTTCTTTATTATATATGTATCTAAAAGATTCTGTTTCCTTTTGATGCTTTTTCTAACATAAATCAATTCGGGTGTTATGCGAATAAAAATTTTCTTACCTGAACGTATCGAACGGTCAGACGGCTACTAAATCGCTTTGTCAAATTTTCGAATTTTGAAATATCTTAGGAACATATTTCTTAGATGTTTTATTAAGAATATGAAAAAAATTTTGATCTTTTAAAAGTTTTAAATTAAAATTTCTTTTTTAAATCAGTTAATATTAAAGTTATCGTATTAAAGATTTATCACAAAATCATTGTCAAATCAAATGATGACTTTTCCTAAAATGACTTTTACTTGATATCATCTTTATTTTATTATTATTCTGTGTTCTATTTGGGGTTGGTCTTTTATTGGTAAAAGAAATTATTAAAATAAAACGCACAATATACGAATCATGGAAATTATTGCCTGTTCACTAGGATTGCAATTTTTAAAGTATGAATTACAAAGTAACGTCGCGCTACTCTTCAAATGCACGTCTTAATAAGAGATATAAGTGTATAGTTATTTCTATTTCTACTCAGACTGACCTTGCACTGAGATATTAATAGATAGTAAATCGCTGTATAAGTATTGATTGCGATAGCGTTGCTACATCGAGTTTGTCACATTTGTTTGATAGATAAATTGATAAATTTCAGTATTAATCGTTAT